GTTCCATCCTTCCCTCACTTGTGAACAAGACCCCGAGATACTTAAACTCCTCCACTTGGGGGAGGACCCCATCCCCGACCCGGAGAGAGCATTCCACCCTTTTCCCACTGAGGACCATGGTCTCGGATTTGGAGGTGCTGATTTTCATCCCAGCCGCTTCACACTTGGCTGCAAACTACTCTAATGAGGGCCAAAGGTCACGGTCCGATGAAGCCAACAGAACCACATCATCTGCAAAAAGCAGAGACCTAATCCTGAGGTCATCAAACTGGACACCCTGAACGCCCTGGCTGCGCCTAGAAATTCTGTCCATAAAAGCTATGAACAGAATCGGTGACAAAGGGCAGCCCAGGCGGAGTCCAACCCTCACTGGAAACGAGTGCTTATTGCCGCTCATGCGGACCAAGCTCTGACAACGGTCATATAAGGACTGAACAGCCCTTATAAGGAAGCCCGGCACCCCATACTCCCGGAGCACCCTCCACAGGACTCCCCGAGGGACAGTCGAATGCCTTCTCCAAATCCACAAAGCACATGTAGACTGGTTGGGCAAACTCCCACAGACCCTCCAAGACCCGCTGAGAATATAGAGCTGGTCCACTGTTCTACGGCCAGGACGAAAACCACACTGCTCCTCCTGAATCCGAGGTTTGACAATCCAACGGACCCTCCTCTCCAGCACCCCCGAATAGACCTTACCAGGGAGGCTGAGGAATGTGATCCCCCTATAGTTGGAGCACACCCTCTGGTCCCCCTTCTTAAAGAGGGGGACCACCACCCCGGTCTGCCAGTCCAGAGGCACCGCCCCCGATGTCCACGCGATGCTGCAGATACGTGTCAACCAAGACAGCCCTGCAACATCCAGAGCCTTGAGGAACTCCGGGCGGATCTCATCCCCCCCCAGGGCCCGGCCACCGAGGAGCTTTTTAACCACCTCAGTGACCTCCGCCCCAGAGATAGGGGAGTCCACCCCCAAGTCCCCAGACTCTGCTTCCTCATTGAAAGGCGTGTCGGTCTGATTGAGGAGGTCTTCAAAGTATTCCTTCCACCACAACGTCCTGAGCTGAGGTCAGCAGTGCCCCATCCCCACCATAAACAGTGTTGATCTTGCACCGCTTTCCTGCCCTGAGACGCCGGATGGTGGACCAGAATCTCCTCAAAGCCATTCGGAAGTCGTTTTCCATGGCCTCGCCAAACTCCTCCCACACCCGAGTTTTTGCCTCAGAGACCGCCGAAGCCACATTCCGCTTGACCCGCCAGTACCTGTCAGCTGCCTCTGGAGTCCCACAGGCCAAAAAGGCCCAATAGGACTCCTTCTTCAGCTTGACAGCATCCCTCACCACCGGTGTCCACCAGCAGGTTCGGGGATTGCCGCCGCGACGGCACCGACCACCTTATGGCCACAGCTCCGGTCAGCCATCTCCACAATGGAGGTGCGGAACATGGCCCATTCGGACTCAGTGTCCCCCGCCTCCCCCGGGACATGGGAGAGGTTCTGCCAGAGGTAGGAGTTGAAACTCCTCCTGACAGGGGATTCCGCCAGACGTTCCCAGCAGACCCTCACTATACGCTTGGGCCTGCCAGGCCTGGCCGGCTTCCTCCCCCACCAGTGGAGCCAACCCTCCACCAGGTAGTGATCAGTTGACAGCTCCGCTCCTCTCTTCACCCGAGTGTCCAAGACATGCGGCCGCAATTCCGATGACACGACCACAAAGTCGATCATTGAACTTTGGCCTAGGGCAGGGTTATTCAACTCACGGTCCTCGAGGTCCGAGCACTGCTGGTTTTCCAACCTTCCTTTACCTGTCAGTCAAGTGTGAAGCCTCTGACCAATCAGAATCAGTAATTATTGAACAACTAACTGGGAGAACTTAAAACACGGCCTGAGTTTGGAATCGAGGTCCAGAGTTGAAGAACCCTGGCCAAGGGTGTCCTGGTGCCAAGAGCACATATGGACACCCTTATGCCTGAACATGGTGTTCATTATGGACAATCCATGATGAGCACAGAAGTCCAATAACAAAACACCACTCGGGTTCAGATCAGGGGGGCCCCGTTCCTCCTAATCACGCCACTCCAGGTCTCAATGTCATTGCCCACATGGCAATGTCTGCTGTTTTAATGATAAATAATTTCCAAAGAAATTGTGTTTTCCCTGATGTACTGAAACTGCACCCAACTGTGAACCCAAACCAAGGTTCAAAACAGACCGAGTTTTGGGTACTGTTACACCCCCACTAAATATGCACTGGAAATACACTTACCGGTAATCTAAATCCTATCTTAGACCCGTAGTAATGACTTAGACTATCGCAACCTGCATGCTCCCCCTACCGCTTGTCCAGACTGGTCACACTGTAGACTAAGAGTGATCGGTGAGTTATTCTGTAGTATAACTGTATCTATATTACACTGACCATGTAGTAGCATGCACAGTGATTTAACCCCAAGCCCTGCCCTCCGCAGAGATTATCCTGTAGGCTGCATCTTCCAAAAGGCCTTCTCTTCTGTCTATCATCGGGCGCAGTGTTGTGGTTCATGTCCACCTTAGGGAGTCCAACAGCTATCGAGTCGGAGTCAAGACCGAGTACCAGCAGGGGGCGTCCTTCCCCTGAGCTGGGCAGCCAAGTAATTATTTCCATAATTAAATTTTAGACCATGAAAATAAATTTTAAAAACTATAATTTGAAGACACCTCAAAATTTTACTTTTTAAATGAGCACCAACTAAGAAATATTTTCAGCCAATAAATGAATGATTTGTCAAACACAGATGTAATAAACTCCCCTCCACTGTATCCTGCACTAATTATTCATTTCATTGTAACATGACTGCATACTGCTGCTGAACACATTTTGGTTCTAGAACAGCAGAAAGCTTTTTTTTTCACTTGCCAAACATTTTATTAAACGTTTTGTCATTTTCTTAAAAGTATCCATAATCTACGTAACATTTAGTTGCAGATCGACATGTATCACACCACGTATGATATCAGTGATGACTAGGACTCGTCACATTACATTGACACATTGCTTCTGCGAAACGCAAGTGCTGTGAGAATTTTATGGCTTAAATGTGCACAATCGAGGTTACGTCTCCAATGTCTGAATAATTACTGGTTTGATTCCCACTCCCACTGATCAGCCACACTATCATTAGAGCCCTGAGTAAGACCTTCAAACATAACTACTAGATCCAGGGGGCTGGACACTGACTGCCCCTCTGATATGATCCCAAACTTCACTTTCACTTGTGGTTCTGTGGAGTCCAAGGTGGTCAATCTGAGAAAGAGACTTTCTGGCATAAGAAACTTGAGAGACATGGTGAGAATGTAACAGTCAGTGGGTGAGCTAATACCAGCAATGGGAAGGCTGTATGCAACCTGCAAAAATACTTTATGGATTCCGATGGATTCTGGAAGGTTTTCCGAGTTACAAATTTTTTGAGTCTGAATCAAGACCAGGTAAAATTCACTTGAGTGCGTAACATTTCCAAATTGATTTATACATTGAATAGAGACTGGACCCAAATCCAAATCCAGACTTGAGTACCACAACTCTGATACCGTTATGGATCCGGGTGGGTTTGGAGCGAGGACGAGGCATAGTGCAGGTCGGAACAGAAATGGACGACCCACTGGCAGCTCACGGGACAAATGGGGATTTATTAAACAAAACAGAAAACACTAAGAACGCTACAAAAGGACCACAAGGGGTCAAAAACAAAGGGAATAAACAAAGACTAAATTTACAAAAGGGTAAAGACAGGCAGGCTACAAACAGAATATTCAAAACTTTACTGACAATACAACTATCACAAAAAATGAAACACTAGGGACTAAAACTCAGGCAGGAACTTAAATACAAAAACTGAACAGGGTAATGACAAGCAGGAGTGAAATAGACAATTAACCAATAGGGGAAGGTGCAGGACAACGAGCAATCAGGAAAAACACACAAGGGCAGGAACAGGAACGGGCAACAGGTGAAACTAATTAACTCAGGGAACTGAACTAACCAAGGAAACAGGGAAACAGAAACTAACACTGAGAAATAACAGACAGGTAGAAACGCAAGCATGGGAACAAAGAATTTAACCAAAACTAAATACAAATCAGAAGATACAGGAACTGGAAAAACTCAAACAATGAAACACTAGGGAATAAAATACAAAAACAGAGGAGGTGGGATTTGAACACGTGAGAAAAGGTATTGGCAAGTAGCCACATGATCAGCACGTTGCAGGAACAGGAAACAGGGGAAACACAAAGACTGACAGGAGGGACAGGATGGCCAGCAATGTCTGCTGGCCAAATAGGGAAGGGACACAAAAGATAGAGACAACAGGAGCTGACCCTGACAGATACTATAGTGGATAACATAGCTGCTACCCAAACAGTGGACCTGGGTTTGATTTCTGGCCATCCATCTTATAAATGACCTGAGTTTGTATTCTAGTCTGTCCTCATTCTGCATGCAAGTTTCCAAATGATTTGATTGATGTGCAGCTCAGGATAGACCTCTATCCCAGTTGTGGGTTTGAATCTCATGTCTGACAGAATTCATAGCACTATTGGACCCTTAAGTCAGATTCAGACTTCTGTGTTAAGCCTATGCAGATCTCACACCGTGGTCCCATTGCGAGCATTTATACTTCTGTGTGGCCTGCATCACTGTGACACGTACTTACATTCCTAGGCATGTGCACATCAGGCTACACCGGGGGCAATGGCGGGGGGGTACGCGGCTGTGCTGTACTTACTACACACAGGTATAAGTCAGCCTTTAATTCTAACTGCTCCAGGGCTGCTGGTGGCCCATTGACCGCAACCTCTCCTCATTTGTAAGTCGTGTGGACAATACACACAGGGCGCGGTACAAAGCCCCCCACTGCAGAGGTGTGAGGTAACAGTGCAACCCACAGAGCAACCGCATCTCCCCCCTGCACAACGTCCTCTTGGTAATTCTGTGGCATCCGCTGTAAAATTAATTCTTCAGGAATTAAACTGAGATATTCTTTAATGTGTCTAGTTTCAACCATCATCGCCATACAAATAAAGTACAATCACTCTAACATAGCCTCAGCCAAAATTATACATTTTTATTTCAATCATACAAGTGCTACAGAACTTAATGACAGAAGCCAAAATATTAAGTTTTCACTCATTATAGTATTTTGCTAGTTTTCTTAACCCAAAGATACATATTAAAGAGGAAGCAGCAGCGAGCAGGACGTGTGTGACTCCTGTTGATTGTGTTACACTCTGACAGCTAAGCTAACAGCTCAGCCACAGGTGAATACTGAGTCCAGACTCCATTCGCAAAGCGGTGTCACTGACAAACCATGTAAACGGGCTCTTTCAGACTCCCCTCGATTCATTAGTGAATGCAGGTTGCAATGCAGCATTTAACTGACAGCTTTGATGACAAAGGTACTGGCAAATCACAGACTTGAGTAACCATATAGAAAGGCCTCTAGAAAACAAGGAAAATGGCAATGCACAGATGTGTATATCACTGGGGTAAGTTTTCTGCCTGTTTTCCAGGTGACATCACCACAGAATGCCTTGGAATTAATAATGTTTAATGCTGTTAAAAATAAAAGTAAGTGAACACAGACAGACTGCAAGTGTCAATGAAGTCAAACAGCTCTGTAAAGGGATTGGAGAGGTTACCATGAAGGAACACTGTGCTGAAATGTGTTTTTCTGACTGTTTGACTAAATGAACTTTCGCAAAACGACACAGAGTGAAGACAGGCACTGGAATGTATTTTGCAAGTTGGCCAAAGATGAGTACGCATTGGGAAATTAACTTGGTTTAACTACCACTCTTGAAGATGATGCAAAAAAGCAACAGATGAAACTCTAAAATGGCCATCTTTGGGCGTCAGTGGCGTGGATGAACGTTCAAAAAAGAGCGGGGGTGTATGGATGACAATGATGGCGACACGCAGCGCAGCAGTGTGGTGAAATGCATGCAAATCATGTCCCAACCCCCATGACATTTGTAAAGGTGGTCCCACAGTAACAGTCATCAGTTGCATCAGTGAATTTCAGCAACTGTCCTCAAGGTATTACTCAAGATATTGCATAATCTCGTTTTTAAGATATGGCTTAAAAACAAAGAAACGGTGTGCAGAGAATCTAGCATAATGGCTGGACTGGCACCCTTTCAAACGAAGGGCATTGCGTGAGTCAGCATCTCTGAGAACCTCAGCTGCACAGTGTCGAGCTCCAGAGTGACATTTTCCTTTGGTCACAGTTTTCAAACAGTCTCTGAACAGCATTGTGAGGCAAAAGTGTCCTACTGAAAAACATGGCACATACCTCCTCAGCTGATTCTCTGCTTTTTTTTCCGTCGTTTTAATGAAAAGCACACAATGCTATTTGTCTACATTCAACATTAACATTCCTTTGCTGAGAGGAACCATGGTCCTGGTCACCGAGATGCACAAAATATTCTGCGGTTTTTCTTAAATTGTGCAAAATGCATCACTTCCTCTTCCCATCTTTAGTCACAAGGCATTAAATGTTACATCACTTAAGATTACAATACAGAACGTACAAACAAGAAGACATTTAAAACATTTTTTTTGTTTTGCTGCAGTTATAGTAAAAAATAAGGCTTTGTTCTGTATTACAGCTTATTTTCAGGAGCGGTTACTAAATCATTAAAATGGGTGTTTCAGAGATGCTGACATACAGGGAGACCAGCTTTTCTTAACGTGTACTGCCATGATGTGTACTTTTCTTAACGTGTACTGCCATGATGTGTACTGCCTTAATGTGTACTGCCATGATGTGTACTGCCTTAATGTGTACTGCCATGATGTGTACTGCCTTAATGTGTACTGCCATGATGTGTACTGCCATGATGTGTACTGCCTTGCACAGACACGTTTTCTACGTTGCAGCACAGCACATTTAACGCTCTGGTATGAACACTCCGCAAACTTTTCTTGTCACAGTATTTAAAGACATTTCCAAAATGGCATAAAGATCAACAAGAAAATGCTAAATAACAGCTGTTGTGGGACTGCTCTCAATTTGTACCTGACCCGGAGGAAAAAAATACTTATATAGGCTTAGAGGCATATACGTGTTTATATTTTTCTTTCCAGCATGCAAAGGAAGACATTGCCTGTTTCGTCAACTGCAATAAAGCACTTCAAACTTAATACTGTATACAGATAATGCACTTAACATTACTTGGGTTCATTTAATCAGCTTGTGTCTCTGCGCTTGCGTCTTCATGCTAACCCAGATAACTGTGCGAATCCCTTTGCTTCACTTTTCGGGCAAGATTAGGACAAACGGCAGGAGGACGCCCTTGGTCCCTGGCGGGGCTTTCAGGGGATCTTGTCCGAATCGGGTGTTGTCCTCCTCCAGCAGACACTGCAGGGTTTGGGAGCGGTTCACGCAGTAGACGCAGTTACCGATGAGAGCGCATCGGAAAGGCAGCGGCTCGCTCTCCCGCAGGGTGGCGCCTTCGTGCCACATTTTGACCACTGTGTTGTACCTGAACACGCTAATGCCGCGATCGCGGTTAATGTCAAACCTGTAAATGTAATTCTTAAACGCCACCATGTCCGTCGATTTCTTCCTGCTATTATTATAGGCGCATTCCTGCCACTCATCCCTCTTGGGGTCGTATTTCAGCAGCCGGTAAAAGAGAGAGCCCCCTGACACGTATATCTCTCCGTTGCATGTGGTCGCTTCGTGAGCCACGGCAAACGCCCCTTTTGGTAAAGGAGCCACCGGAGCCCATCTGTCCGTACGAGGGTCGTATTTCTCCACGCTGAACAGACACTCCCCGCCTATCGCGTACATGGATCCGTCCATGGACACTAGTTTGAGCTGCGATCGCGGCTGGTTGAGTGGTCTTATTTCGCTCCATCTATCCGTGGATGGATTATAGCAGAAAACCTTATCGGACTGCTTACCTTTGTCGCTTATTATACCACCTGCCACGAATAAATAATTGTACAGGGTGCAAATGCCGCAGCCTTTCGTGTTGATCTGGTCCGGCATCCGAGTGAGTGATTTCCAGTCTTTGGTAGCCTCGTTGTAATAATGTATCATACGATTTTCTTCGCAGGGCACTATGGACAACGGACTCTGAGGACGACTGCTGTCCCGGCTTGGAGGTCTACTTCCAACCCGCTCGTAAGCGTCGTTTATTTCGGCCACCATTAAAGTCGTGTGCCCTTCCAATCTTTTTTTCAGGATCAGATCCCGTTCGTGTCCAGTCAGGCGTCCGTAAACATTTGGATCTCTTAATATTTCCAAGAAATTGTCACTCATGAATTTATATGCCGCCTCCTGCAATTCATTCAGCCTTTGCTTTTTGGCTTTGGTCAAAATTACATAGCAGTTCCCTGTCGTGATCTGATCCGTTCTGGCATCCATTGCTGTTCGAACCGCACACGGAAACTGAAGGGTTTTTAGTTTCGCTAATGACCTCTACAGCAGAACCCCTACTCACGAAACTCAGATGTTACCGTCTCGTAGCTCATCTCTTTCACCTCTGCAGCGTCATCAGGGTCCCGGGCTTTGAAGGATCTATTCCCCTATAACAAAACTGCTTAAACCTCCTTAAACCTCTTAAATCTCCTCAGCAGAAATTCAAATCCGCCTTCCCTGTTAAGTTCCATGCATTTATAACACTGCTTCCAATTCCAGTAGTCCATGAGTCTTTGGAAGCCAGTACTAACAACTCATTTCTCCTCTCTATTCACATCTGTAATGCGCACTGACCAAATGCCCGACCCCATATGTCACTTGCCCTCCCGCTGACTTATTGTAAGCCACTGGTCCCCTCCTCTTTCCCCGCGCCATTGGCATCGTCAGTCCCACACTGACTCGGCATTATTATACGGTGATTCTACGAGGAGGTGGCACATTCCAGGAAGTGGGACTTAAACTGCAGGACACGTTTCCCTCAGAGCCGCGGCTCTCCACTGGCCACCATTGTATGAAGGCTTTTGATCTTTGGCCACCTCAGGCGTACATGCGGGGGCTACAGCTTTCGTGGTAAATATTTGTTGGATCGAGGTCGTAAGATTCCCGTAAATCCAAGCTTTCTTTTTTCTTTCTTTTTTTCTAGTTTATTGGAAGTGATGATTTTCTGCAAACTTCAGTTGTGGCTTTGCCCGTTCTGTCCAGACTGCCCCACGCCAGCATTATTATTATTATTATTAGTAGTAGTAGTAGTAGTAGTAGTTGTAGTCCAATAATAGTTGTTATTATCGTTATAGGACGAAGAGGAAGACATATTAATAACATTAATAATAATCATTTCTTGAAGGGAAACAGTATTCAAGAAAGTCGGAAACCACTCATCGTTAATTGTGATACCATGCAACTTTTTACATTCCTTGTTTTTTTTCTTTTGGGCAGAGGGTTCCCCTGTAGGAAGGGATATAGTACGTTTTCGCGCTGGGCGATTAATGATATCAGAGAGGTCTAGTCCAGATGTTCACCTGAACATTTTGTGGAAGTAGTTTAAAACCACTTAGGCCTGTTTTTTTTCTCGGCGTAGTCCAGAACCTTTCCTGACATTAACCGTTAGGTATGAAAAATAAATGTAAGAAAATAAATCGCATTTTAGAAGTGCGAAAACAGCGACTGCAAGTGATATAGAGTACTGATGGGGGCGCTCTTATTCAGTCCAAAATAATCACATCATGATTAACACAGTCATGTTCTTCTTAATAACATCTTCGATTTATTTGAAAACACCGTTTCCTCCCTCTGCTTATCCATCACAGCTTTGCGGGGATAATTTGTATAGTATTTATTTTCATATTTTATATCTTTATGTTTCGTACCTTACTCTGCGTATTAAGACTAATAATTTGGCTCCGAAAATGCTAACACCTTATATCACGTAGCCTACATACCCGCTAAAATCCTACAACTGGCCTATAACTGAAACATAGATAGATAATACATAAATAAAGCAAAATAAATGCATGAAGAAATGGATTAACAACATACAATAACAGTAATAATAATAATAACCAATGACTGATAACAAATAATGATACTTACCAAGCAGGGGAAATATTAATATCGCTATGGTGGTTCAACCAGACTGAGGATCAGCCATTGCACCGTGGCTGTGCTGAACCCTGCACATTCCACAAATATGGGAATCTCGACTGCATAATTTCTGCTAGTGGGGATTACATTTGCACTTTCCTCTGGGGGGCAGCATGTAGCTCATTGAGCTAAACCTCTGTGCCTGTGATCAGCATATCTACAGGTTCTTCAGCAAGACGCTTAACCCCTGGCTCCCTGCAATGGGTCTATGTCCTTTAACAGCCAGCTTGCTCCCACTTACAGAGAGCAACAAGGGGGGGTAAAGAGAATTTTCTCACAGGGATCAATAAAGTATCGATTATTATTATTAGCAGGGCAGTACAGTGGCCTCATGTCTCTGGGGTGGGTTGTCAACCCTGGCTCTATGTTTAGATTTGCATGGTTTCCTGTGAGATCCTCAGGGTCCCACCCACCGCCACAGAACATACTGTTAGGCATGGATTTATGTCTAAACTGCCAATGTGGCCTGTGATCATTGTAGGAAATTAATGGGGATAAAAGCAAAAGTACCCACAAAAATCTCTGAATACCCCTAGAAAACTACGATGAAGGGACAAACATTGCCCCAAAGATTTTGAAGAAAAAAAAAGAAAAAATCTTTGCAATATTTGTTTTATTTTGTTGAAGAGGTGAATTTGCATTTACAGGTGTAAAACACTGTTTTTCATTTTTCCAGAATTTTTTAATAAACCTTCAACAGTTTCTAAAGGACGTCTAAAAAAACTAGACTAAACTAGTTAATTTGAAAGACAGTGATGAAATTTTCACTTTATCTATAAACTAATGCATTATACATTTTTACAAAGTCTAGAGCTAAACAAAAGCCTAAACAGTTAGAACTGTCTCCTGCATTCTCTCAATACAGATGGCATTCTATACACATACAGATGGCATTCTATATGCATACAGTTGATTGCACACGTCTCTTTGGAAATGCAATAGTTTGCTGTTTATTTACTCATGTTGGCACTAGGTGGTGATTACTGTATGTATTTAAATCTTGGCTCATTTCACATAAAAAACAGAAACTTTATGCATTAATTACTATTTTTAAAAAGTTCCCCCAAAATTTTGTAAATGTCCCCATTTTTTTCATTTCCTACATGCCAGAGATAGACTGTCATTCCATCCAGGTCTTCCCTTGCCTTGTGCCCTGTGTTTCCTGTGACAGACCTGAGGCTAACTGCAGCTTTATGCTAAATAAATGTAGGAAAGGAGGATAATAGCAACAATAACAACAATAATAATAGTTTCAAATGGTGTTATCTCTATTTCTTGCCCTGTACACAAAAGTATGGCCTAATCATTAAACCATGCAAAATTTTTCAGATTTCTCTGTGATAAATCCTCCACATCGTCAAGAATTTGTGATCAGTAAAGCTTCTCTTCTATTAAAAACTGGCCTAACTTTGGTGCTGCCTTTGGTGCAGCATCTTGGTTTTTAAATTACACAAATAAACTAATCTTTCTACAATCAGTGCATACATGTGTTAAATCAGACACTCTGGAATTGCCTTCTGATGTAAACAAAATTTGTGTGGGTACCACAAAAAAAAAACAGTCCAGTACAATCATTTTATCCCTAGCTAATGACACAGAGTAATTCTTAAATTTTAGAAATTTCTTCCAAACCACTCATACTCAAGGAACTTGGTCAGTCTATTAGCCTTGAGCCTGGTTGGTTACTTTTTCATGATACTAACTTCAGGAAGATTGTTGTTGTGATTTTACCCTTTCAGAGATAATGTATATTGCTACAATCTGCCACTTGTCAAGTTTCTTTCATGCTGCACTGTTAAGCTCTTTAGATGAATTATTTTGTGAGGTTGTTCCTTGTGCCCCTGTCAGTAGCCATGTTTTTACTTTTCCATTATTCCTGCCTCTTGCTGAAATGGCAGTTTTTCTTTTATGTTTCCAGAAATCTCTCTGCTGTTCATCCTTCCCCCCCTTCATGCCCATGTCACACTGTCCCGTCCTCCAAATGCACCGGATTTCCTGCAGTGTTAAAATGAATTGAAGTGAACTGAATCTGAATCGAGTCTGGAATCTGGAGTCTGGAATCTGGAGTCTGGGCAAACCAGTGAAGGGAATCTTCATGCAGAAAGGGGACTGTCTACCACACAGGCCGTGTTTTACCATATTGTAGGAACAGAGGAACAGAATCCAGTGCTCTACATTCATCATTGGTGTCTCAGATATTATGATATTGTTTTTTAGTATAATTTAATATTTATGTTTATATATAATGTATTTTATAAAAAGTTTTGTCATATATAAAAATTAGTATAAAAACATAAAAGTTTCACAAATCAGTCATTGTTCTGTGTCCAGACATTACCTGTGACCCTACATATTGTGCACTCTTCAGTGTGACTCATGAAATCCATTTATACCAGCACACGCAGAAGTTCATACCTTACTTATAAAGCCAAGTACCATACTTCCAGCTTTCCAAAATGGCCAAAAACAGTGCAAGTAACCTGTTTGGCCTCTGAGTCAGCCATTCTGTTGTGTGTGTGTGGGTATGGTTACCATGGCAACAGCACTTTCCACAGTTCCTGGTTTCCTTGGAAACCAGAGTAAGAACAAAATACAGAGGGATAGACACTGTAGGTCCTCATTCAAGAATCCATCTGACACTACGGCAGCTGACTTATTGTCTTCAGTGTGCCTGAATACTTGAAGCATGAACGTATGTTCTGTTTGCTTATACAAATGCACAACAACTTCACAAGTTGGCTGAACTGTCCTTAAGGGGATTTTCAAATCTGAAATCTATTGCAATCCATCACAATATGTCCTCACAATGGTGTTGTAAAAAAGGGCATATTAAATAAAGCAACTGCCATTGTCCACCATGGATATCCTGAGGCACAGCCTTGAATATTTCATTGAAGGAGATACGTATGATTCCTGTTTTAAAAATGACTGTAGTCCCCCTTGGATCTAAAAAACCAAATCACAATGGTATTCATTTGCACTACAAAATGCCTGACAGGTACAAACATTACCATTTCAAAAATAGCGCCCACAAATCTCAAATTTTACTGAGGATTTATAACTTAATTATTATATTAAGTAACAGTTTTGAGCAAAGTGAACTAAATATGCTAATTGCACTGATTCATTCCTAAATGTGGGCTTATCTCTCACAGGAGAGAGAGATGATCAGAAATAGCTAGGCCTGTTGGGAGACATTATGCGTGTGACAGAAAAGGAGAATGAAGACACTCCTGTTTGACCTTCATATCCTGACAGGAGACGCTTTCCCCCTAATTAAAATGATGCACAGTATTACGGCATCTTGGCCCGCTGCACTCTCTCACCTCCAGATACAGTGGTACCTCGGTTCTTGAACTCACTAGAACTGGAATTTCTTGATAGTCAAATAAACCAGTTTGACCTAGAACTCGATCTGAATATCAGAAGTTGAACCGTGAACGCTGACCTAATATAAATTGTACGCACCAGGAAATGAGTCATACTACAATGCAATTCTTACTTGAATGCCTTCTTCACAGACTGGACGATTAACCAAATAAAGCAGCGCAACATTACAGTAACTAACAATAAATAAACCACTAACTTACGTGTACTACTAGAGCATTTATGTCATTTATTTAAACTTTATTTTACCAGGTAAATTAACTGAAAACCAGTTCTCACTGCTTTACGTGATATTCGGGAGAAACAGCAGATTACACATTGGAACTGCCTGGGATACAAACGTCATGCGTGTAACTAAACTCTTCAGCCAATAAGGGCAAAGGTGTATCGTCACGGAGGCGGTTGTGCAGCCGGGTGAGAGGTCGCAATGCATCTAACCGTAATGCATTGCGTCAGGATCAGAATGCGTTGCTTTAAGCCAGCGCTGTAAGCAAGTCGAACGCACCCAATGACCGGACTGGGGAAACAAACTGAAACACGGACTTATGGTGAGTTCGATTATTTCTCTCCAAGTCGGAACTTGGATGAAAACGTCACGAAACACGTCTCTTTTATGACGTTGAAGTCGGACAAGATTTTGTTGTCCGAGTTGCCCCTGTGACGTAATTTCAACATGGCGACTTGGTTTGTTTGTAGTTCATTTACCGTTCGAAAAAAGAATACCGCTATGAATGTACTACAATATTTTCTAAAGCTTTTAATGTGGTTTGACTAGTTCGTGTTTCTTGTTTGTCTCTCGGAAAAATCTCAATTTCTCCATTTTCTCCATTTGGGAAACTCCAAATCTGCTAAAATATAAAGCAACAACACACAGCAACGTGTTCATGGAGGCAGCCATGTTTGTTCCGAGATGTGGGTAGCTCGAACGGGAGATTGTCGGACGTGATGTCACTCAACTCGGAATTTCCGAGTTCCGAGAGAAAAACGAATGCACCATCAATACAGAGGACTAATGACAACAACCAGAAACAGCTGATCACATGGGGATCCCACACGGGGTTAAGGAGGGGGTGTGGCACACGGAAAGAGCGGACGATAGGGGCAGGACAGGGGTAATGTTGGGATAAGATCTTTATCGTTTGGAAGCCATTAAGAAAAAAATGCTCTTCTTGTTTTATCCTGTTCATTTTGTGTTTAAATGCTAAAAAAAAAAAACATATTTAGGTGTAATTTTGGGGGGCCGGGAACCAATTAATTGGTCTTCCATTATTTCTTATGGGGAAAATTCGATCATAACTCGAACTTTTTAGGATTCGATCTGGAATCCAGACCGGATAAAGTTCGACAACCGAGGTACCACTGTATATCCATTTCCATACCTATCCATCTATTATCCTCCTGTCCTAATTGCTTTTGCCATTTGAATGCTGGTATTGTTATGAATATGCCGGAATGAACATCAGATCAGACAATTCAGTGACAAACAACAGCCCTATGAGCAGAACTAGGTTTTATTTCTGACATCTGTCGTCCTTGTGCTAGTTGAAGGGAGGCATTTACTCTACGGATTTAATGCCAGTTCGCTTTTGCTCCACACTCACATAAATATGCTGTCTCTCTTAGAGTATTGTTAAGTTGTCTGTGTAGCTGAAGGCTAGAATTTTGCTTCAGTTCAGTGTCGATCGGTATCTTTCAGCTTTACTGTCGCCCTAATTT